GACTAGTCAGTGTACAGATTAAGGAATAATGGTCACAATCATGTCGTGGGGGAACTTTGGATTAATTATCTGAGCTGTGTTCGACTGGCTGGTTGGCTTCAGCCGGAGCAATGTTTCTCTCACAGTATTTCCCAGCATGAACAGTAAAAATTCAGTCCAGCCGGTCCGTGGCGACGTTGTTGTTTTGGGAAGCATATGGGTCTGAGCACTGAGCAGGGGGGGGCGCACGTATAAAAGGCCCATCGATCGAGAGTCCTGACCCGATGTTCCAGCGCCACCAGGACGCAGACAGCCTGGATTCTTCTCTCCCGTTGCAGCGTTGCTTTAGCTTCAAGTTTACATCTGATCTGTCATCGCATGGACATGGAGTATACGGATACTCCGTATGCCGTTTTCCTTTTCCCCGTCAGATTCCAAACATTGACGTCTCGGGAAACGCGAGAACAAACAGATAACTTCCATGCTACTTCAGCCTCTTTCCGGATTAAACTAGTACTGTACTCATCGTCTCAAATGGTGGATCGGTGGTCATTTGTTAGCTTTGATCATCCCTGTCCTGTGATATCCGGAGTCAGGGAAAGCACGCCCCGCGTGCATGCAGTCATGCAGAGCGACAGAGCGCAGAGGAGGCCGTAGCTCCACATTTTAAAGACGACGGACGACGACCGGGGGAGGAGAATGGTGGGAGATCCATCCATCGGCCAAAAGCAAAAGAGGGCACGCAGAAGGAAAAGAAAAGGGCGCATCCATCCATCCATCGCTCCGAGGTCGAATCCTAGGCACTGCGCCTCAGGAGACACCCCACGTGGCGGCCCCATAGCACCTTCCTGCGCGCTACGCGCACACGCACGCGAGAACGCAGCTGCGGCCAGAGCCAAGAGCCCGCCAGGCACTGGTCGTCGTCTAGTCCTCCGGCCGGGGCACCGACGCCCTGCGCCTGTGTTCTGGGCGCGTCGTCCTGCGTCGCAACGGGCACTGCCCGTGCCCGTTCGCAACTCGGCCCTTTGGCGATGCCCGCGCGTCGGATCTCGAGTGCGCGCGTTCACGTCACAGACCACGCGAATAATATATGTCGTCGGGCAGTCGGGCCGCGAGTTTCGTGGCCGGGGCGCACGTCCGCGACGTCACGTACAAAGCTCACGTGCGGCATGCCCCCACCTACTCGCATCGTTTTGCGCCGCGGCGGTGTCGTGTTGGGGCGAGCGAGGCGGATGTGGGCGAACGTTGGCCCTGCTGCCGGCACAGGAAACTGTCGCTGCGGCGCGCGGGTGCGTGCCCACGGTGTTCGCTAGCGCTCAGCGGCGACGGCCTGGTTGGCGGAACGGACGTGACAACCTACTTATATATACTGCTACCCTAACGCATGGCTCCGTTCCTCTATCGTAAGTCTTGCTTTTCACTGCGGCCGCGCGCGCGCGAGCGAGGGCGTGCCCGCGCTGTCCGCTAGCGCTCGGCGGCGACGGCCGGGTAAGCGGAACGGGCGTGCCGGGCTAGCTAGCTCCGCCTAACGGATTCCCATTCCTCATCTCTCCGTCGTCTTGCTACCCACTCGCATGTTTCCATCAAGAACACGTGGGATGTGGTTTGGTGACCCCACACGTCAGTAGGAGTAGTGGAGGACCACTGTATTACAAAAGTAACACATTACACACCCGATCGAGTTTACAAAATAAACGAACCGACTTGACACGTGATTATGAAAATAAAAGGCCATTATAAAATAGAACACGCAAGCTACTGACAATTAGTTTTGTTCTAATTTTTAGATATATAGCTTTTGCTATGCACCTAAATATACATCATGTCTATATACATAGTAAAAACTACTTCCTCCATTCTAAATTATAAGTCGCATTGATTTTTTGGTACATCTATTTTGTTATGCATCTAGATATAATAGTATGTCTAGATACATAGCAAAATGGATGAACCAAAAAAGTCAAAGCGACTTTTAATTTGGAATGGAGGGAGTATGTATCTAGAAAAGCTGAAACAACTTATAATTTAAAACAGATGGAGTATTTAAAACTTACTTGATAAATCAGTTGATTATGCCAAGAAGAAATGTTTTTTTTTTTTTGTCCAATAATTTTCATTAGTTAGCTTTCTAATACCCGAAAATCATCTGAAGAAGAGAAAAACAGGATGGGAGAGAGAGAAACCGAGGAACAACCAGATAAATATCCATCGCGGTTGCGCACATATATTTACGACTATATCTACTATTTAATTTTAAAAAAGATCAAATACAATTTTTTCTTTTATTTATCAAAAGTGAATTATAGAGTTACTTTAAGAAGCTATATCTACTTTAAGAAGCTTGGTACGATATCTTTGATTATTTGGGCTGAAGTTTGCATGAAGTGGCTATGAAGATCTCCAAGACATGTTCAAGGACTTAGGCAGATTGTAAATTATATGGTTAATGAGAGAAATAACTTTATTATGTCTTGTTACATGTAAGTGTTTTGGATTGTATATATATGGTCATATATAATTGTGTGAAAGTTGAACTTAAAAAAATCATTGTTTGGTTGTTTTTATGTACATCCTAAAATGAAGCCGTAGCGTTCGCACGGGTCGTACCAGTACCATTAAAGTTTCGACAGCCGCAGAGGCCACTGCTGCAGCGGCACGACTTACGATCCGGAGCCCGTGCGGGTCCTTCCAGTGCAGCGTGGGAACAGTACCGCACCGATAATTGCAGCGTAGACTGCATGTTGGTTCTACGGTTTCCATGATCCGTGTGCGCGCCGAGACTTTCGCTCTAGTAGGACGTAGGAGCATGTTACGTAGGGCCCGGTCGAGCTAGGATGAGGACTTCTTTCCCTTCTCAGTCTCAGGTCAGGCTCTTCCGTGCTTGCCTGTGCCTGTAGTCCTGCCTGTACGTGCCCCCATCGTAACCATGGAGCGTTTATTAATGGCTTCATTTCGGCGCCAGCTTCCCGACGCAGGACGCGTGGAGTTTCACCGTTTCGGCGCCACGCATGAGTGCATGACGCATGAGACGATGGAGGTGGGTTCCGTTGGCGTTGGCGTTGGCGAGGGGGACACACGCTCAGGACGGTGGACGGTCCGGCTGGCGCTGGTCGATGGACGCCACCACACGCGCGCACACGGGGGAGAGTGACAGTGAGCCAAAGGGGCCCGGCCGATGGATCGAGTTGATTGCGCAACACTGGACCGAATCATTGTGAAAGGGATGGACCGATGGAGGACTACAGCCGACGGGAGCGGATCATTTTAGCCTTTGCTGCTGCTCTGAGCTGCGCCATTGCCTGTGTGCCTAGCGCAGCTGAGGGCTGAGGCTGGCTGGGCTGGCCGCACGCCCATCAATGATTCCTGTCTGCCCCACGCTCTCTCTTGGCCTGTCTTGAGCACGCCGAGGCAAGCAGGCGACGCAGCCGCCCCCCTGGGCCCTGTGGCCCCTCTTTCTCTGTGTCTCTCTCTCCCTCGTGGCAGGCAGTGCAGTGGCTGCTCCATTTACCGGAGTGAGCTTGACTGTTTAGCCCAAAATTTTGTAAATTTTTTAAGATTTTTTGTCACATCGAATTTTGAATGCATGCATGAATCATTAAATATAAATAAAAAATAAAACTAATTACATAGTTTAGACGAAATTCACGAGACGAATCTTTTAAACATAATTATACTATAATTAAACATTAATTGACAAATAACAACGAAAATAGTACATTACCATTTACCAACAAATTTTGTCAACTAAACAAGGGCCTGGTAGTGGAAGCGGCGGAGCCAGGAGCCAGCAGCCGGTTGGTGAGCCGCCCGTACACCATCACATCGCGTGGATGCCCGAGCACAACTCCCTTTTTCTTTTTTCTGACCAAAACGCTTGCCTGTTCGTTTAAAGACCTCTTTGGCACGGCTCCGGCCAGCTCCGGCTCCGTCTGACAATCACGGTGTAGATCACTGTAGAAACACTGTAGCTCAGAGCTGGTTTTCTCTCTCCTACTTTCTTCTCTCACCTAGCTCGGGTACTGTTCACGGTGCCGGAGAAGGTAGGGTTGGGTCGTCCTGCTGGCACCTGTCGGCTTCTGGGAGGCCTACAGGATGCAACAGGCGTGGAGCCCTGCCAAAGAGGTCATATCAACCGGCTTCTCAGTCAGAATCTGCAGTATTTTCTTTTACAATAAAATCAGCATCAATCTACTTTAATACCAGCCGAACATGCCCCGTGCCCATGCACCTTGCCCAATTGGCCAGGTGATGCGAGGGACTTGACGTTTCACGCCCGTGCCCGTGCCCGTGCGCAAACCTTTCCCGGCGTTTTTTTTCCCTACCGTGGTCAACTATTCCCCCAACAACAACACGGCAGGATGATCACCTATCACCATGATGAGATGCCACACCTCATCGATTTCAGTAACATGCGTGACAGATGTGAGTCGTCGTTGTATTAGGAGAACTAGTGCAGAGTTCTGCAACAAATGATTAGGCAAATCTCACTCCGTGACTCTGGTGCATAATGGCAGTGTAAAATTCTGGCTCCGGGCCTGAAAACACTAGTGAAAACAGAAAAGACAACCCACAGTACCCCATTTGTAAAATTCTCGAGTTTATTACATAACAAAAACATCGTCTTCATCACCAGTCAAAAACAAACAAAAATCTAGGAATCACTTGATCTATCTCTGGCACCTAACATTTCTGTGGATTTCCACGGTTTTCAGTGACACCTCTACACACATTTCATTCCTGGGAGGATGGGATTGGGGAGGAACGACGACGACAAGCGGACATGTATATAGGAATTAAGGATGCCTTGGCTCTATAAACAAACCAGAAGGCCAACATCATGATAGCGCAGCATGTACAGCTAACAACCAGACTACCAGAGGTTCTGCAAGCTAAGGGCACGGAAAAAATACTCCTGAACCTCAACCGCTTTTACAAGCATGTACCACCTCGGCGCTGTTCAATCGCTGCTCCCGCAGTGAGTTGTCAAGCATTAACTTCCGCTCTTCATGCGCGGGCTATTGCTATCGTTCGATGGGTTTGTACAGGACGACAGTTACATATTTGGACTCGAACCTGTGGGTTAGGCCGAGAGCCACCAGAGGGTGAGCGCCCCAGCCCTTCTCTATGAAGAGGTGATTGAGGACTATGTGCTGCGGCCGCGCGCAGCTTTCTTCCGAGTTCTGTGAGTTAAGAACACCGAGATGGAGTTGAGATGGAAGAGCAGGAGGCTCCTTGGCAAAGTCCTTCTCCTCAGGTGCCTGGAAACTGTAGCTAGAGTCTGGAGAAGGAGGTGCCTCGAATTCTGCCACGCTCTCAACACTTTCAGGGACAAAATCCTGCAAGCACAATAAGAGTTACAGGGAATAATTTCAACAGAGGACCAAAATAGAAGATGGCACGAGTAGCTTTGTAGTACATACTACTGCATTAAAAGACATGTCGACCTGCTAAAAGTTCTCAACTCAGTAAAACCTTTTCAATCTACCACAAAATGAATACCACAAAATGAAGGTGGCTACAAACATCACAATTGGTACAATTAATTTCCCAGTGGATGACCTTTCAGAAAATTAGATAGACTATCACAGTTTAAGCAGTAAAAGAACAAATTACATACTGTCATCTCATTCGTTTTTATCGTGAAAATGGAATGCATAACTTGAGTTAAGCTAAGGCCAAAACTATTCTTCTTTCTTTTGCTAAGGAAGGCAAATAAGCATATGGTTGACAGCAGTGTCATGCGTGTTATAAATTTCTGGCTGTGTTCAGGTCTTTGGCATAAAAATAATAATACTAATACTCACATTAACATCAAGAAGGTTAACCGCATTGCCCATTGCATCAGTTTCACAGGGAAGATCAGGAAGACATCTCCTTTCTCCATCTACAACAAATCTGTATCGGTAAACTCCTGATGGGAGTACCAGCAAAAGAGAATAATCTTTCCCAGATTTTTGCATGGCTTTTCTGCAACATGTATAAATGAACAATCTCAGGATCGCAGTCTGAAGTTACAGTTCTGCTTAAGTTGATTAAAAATTTAGAACAATCTCAGGAATTAAAGTTCAACTTAAACAGGATTATATAAATAATTAAATTATTGTACCTTGATTTCCAGTTATCCCATGATCCTTCAACATATACATTATTTCCTCCAAGGGTCCAGACAATTAAACCAGGAATTTCCTTTTGAGGGGGGCCATCGTATTCTTCTTCTTGTTCATTCATCAATATCTGGTTGAACACTGGGGTTACATCAGCAGCTCTTTGCAGTGGAGGTACAGGGGTCTGCAATACAGGAGTAACAGGCCTAATCAATATATACTGGCAATGCTCGTACCACACACATTTGGCTAAGCGTACCACACACATTTGGCTAAGGAAACAGGTGACAAATGACTGGTTTCAAAATATATGCTCGACAAGTCTATAGCAGACCAATTGGTGTCGGGACAAAGTGTCGGTGTTTCGAGTTGCCACCGACTTATACTGATTCGGGCAGAATGTCCCTATGTCCAGTTCGTTGCTGCTGCTCGTGTTACTAGCACTGAAAGTTCGTAGTAAGGGTTACAAACGGTCGAGAGAGGGACAGGTCCCAAGTCTCTAGTGAGAGGAGCGAACGAGTGTCGAGAGCTCGGTCGCTTCGGCTATGTGCTTGTGTGTTCTGATCGGGTTGGGGTTCGATGGGGTTCGAGTCCGAATTGATGCGATGTGTTGCGATGCCCGTTATGGGGACGCCTGCTTTCCCTTTTATAGGCCAAGGGAAAGCACGGGTTACAGTAGAGGAAAAAGAGGAGAATGAGAAGGAGAAGTCCTCCAGGATCGCCGGGTCCTTCTTTTCCTTCACGTGGGTCCCGCCGACCATGTAGACGTCAACAGGGACAGCTCCACGTCGCGGCCCTGTCCATCACTGGCGCCATGTGCAGGCGTCGTCTCTCGGTCATGGCGCTCCACTCCGTCCTGGAGGACGTCGTGGTGGACTGACGCGCCTGTCAGCCCTCGTACGAGGGTTAGGCAGAACAACACCGGTACGCCCGACGCTGTTCCTGATGTGAATCCCTAGGTATGGCCCGTCACGGCCACGGGTTATATCGAGGCGTCCCGGTCACCTCCCTGGTGTCAGAGCTTTGACCTAGGCCCATTCGCTTGGACCTGGAGTGGTTGGCGGCGGTATGGGTGTCCGTCGGGCGAGACGGATCCCCTGGCCTCGGGGTCGGTCGAGGCGGAGTCCCCCCCAAGAGGCCGGGCGAGGCGGGCGCAAATCCAAGGGTCGGGCGACACAAAGGAGGTAGGTAGCGACTGAAGGGTGGTGGACAAGAAAGTTGTTGAACCAAATCGTAGGCCATCAAACATCACATTTTACCATTATAGAGCTTTTCCCTCTATTAGTAAGTTTGAATGAATATCACCAGGCAGAAACCATTTGATTTTCATCCTGCAAGATCATCGAGCTTCTAGCCTTCCATCATTGAGAAAGTGCAGACCAAGAGACACTAATACAATATACTCAGTTGCCTCAAAATAGTCAAGACCAGGCAAATCAGGAGCCTTGGATCCTATTATATTAGGACATTCTTGCCAAGCAACTTGCTGAAGGAAGAAACCTTGTGGCACGAGAGGAAAAACAAGCAGTAATTAAAGGAAAAATAAATCTCTTTTCCAAAAAAGAATACAAGAGCAGGGTAAATAAAAAGTATCGACAAGCTGAATATGATATTCAGGATTGTTATGAATGGTACTGTTCTAGCATCAGAGAAACTCCACCAATTCAAAGAAACTTATATCGCATTTGTTAGAATAATTTGTAAAAGAAAGACAATAATAAGATAACTTTCGGCTTCAAATATAAACAAAGAACAATATAGCGCAGCAAGTTATCAAAGTGTTGGAGTGAATGGTGTGACACTTTAAATAAGAGTAAAAACAGTAAATCCACTGCCTGTTCAATCTATGTGAAGATACACACAAAAAATAACATAAACCAATCTGTGTAGTCCTACTGAAAATCCACAAAAGGAACAGCTCCAATTCCTGATAAAGTTCACAAAAACAATTGAGTGGCCTTGTATGAAAGACCAATTAACCGTTCAGCTTGCAGCTACAGTTTTGTCATGCATATTTTAGTAAATGAATTATGGGCTTTTTAGTTGCAACTCCTTCTGTTCCAAATGATACGTCACTTTAGCTTTGTCCTAAGTCAAACTTCCATAACTTTGACCAAGTTTTAGAAAAATATATTAACATATACAAGTTCAAATAAATGCCCTATCAAGACACATGGAGAATTTAATGAAATTAATTTGATGTTGATGTGTTTTTCTATAAATCTAGCCAAAGTTAGAGAAGTTTGACCCAGGACAAAACTAAATCATTTGCTAGTAGGTTGTGTCTTCTCTCGACAAGTCTGGAAACTAATTTGTTGCAGTTGGCACCACAACCTACTGTGACTCGTTTCTCAGGGTGGTGAAAGAAATCAATTCCAGCTGTCCCCAAAGAAGCACGTAAAGGCCTCAACTCCTTGATAATTCTGGTGGCATGGGAGATTTGGAAGCAATGCAACACTTGTGTCTTTGACAATAAGAGGCCAAGCGTTCAGGAAGTCCTTAGGGCTGTTAGCATGGAGGGAAGCCTTCGGTGCTCAGCAAGGGCCTCCAAACTCCAGGAACTTGTGTTCAGGTCGCTGCCTACTGGAGCTTAAAGCTCTGAGGCTTCTGGTCATTTCTGTTCTTTCTGTGGCGCGTCTGTAACTTAGTGAACAGGGTGTGGGGTGTGTGTGTGTTGGGTCACTTTTGACCTGTGTAATCTTTTTCTACCTTAATGAAATGACGCGCAGTTCTCCTGCACTGTTCAAGAAAAAAAAGGACAAAACTAAAGTGAACTATAATTTGGAACAGAGATACAGCGCTTAAGTTAGAATTTGATTGCTGCAGAAATTGTTTGGTCCGCAACTAAAGTTGTGGCACACGCAAATACCATAATTTTGTAGTAACATAGGCACATAGCTCTCGCATTTTAGACAAATTGTTTGCCAAAGTTTGCCACAGTTATGGCAGAAAGCCACCAAATTTCTAATAAAGCAACTAAACAAATCCTATAACAGGCCAGTCAAGGGCTCAAGGCTAAGAAAACCTGACTGAGTTCAATAAGGTCACATAGCAAAACACTGGGATGAAAGGTCAAACTTTCCTAACTTTATACTAGTTGCTTACACTATATGCACTTGTTTTTCCCAGTTCTGTGTCAACTCTGTAATTTTGTGGTTCAGACTGTACACGACAAAAAGAGTAGGACCATATGAATCATAATAAGGAACAAAAATATACTGTCCTATTCTTAAACAAATTACAAATGCAACTAGTTCTTTAACATTGTGAAGAAAAAAAAAAACTGCCCTATTCTGAAACCTTGTAACAAATGCTACTAGGTCTATAATTATTAACTGAAACAGTTTTGGGAGCAATTAACAATAAATTACCAAGCATATTTATGTGAATGTTTTTAGTTTTCTCACAAGTCCTATATGCATAATGCCACAAGCTGCATCACATCCGCATGTAATTGATCTTTCCTGTTTCTTATAACTATCCAAGCAGTTTTGTGCCACACAAAAACGAGGATGCTTTAGAAATCTCTGCAGATACATTATGCAAAGGAGAAGCATCCTATTGAGCCATTCTGAAGCCTAGTGCTTAATGTCATTCACTTTTTATCATAAGCAGTTTAAGACCATATTTTAACAACTACAGTGAGCATTTCATGGATAAATTTGCAATTTATCTTTGAATCCCTAATCAATTAAACATCAAATAATTTATTTTCCATGTATTTATCTGCACAACGCCTGTGTTTCATGTGGTATGACTTCAGAAGAAACATCACCATTTCAAAATCAAGAGGTTGCTGAAATGGGAACAACACATTGCGACATTTCTATTTTCTATTTATGAGGCATGTCAACTTCAGCTGTTCAAGAACATATAATAAATAAATGGAGAAGCGAATGTAGTGAGTAGTAACTGAAGTTATCTTGTTTCTTTGTTTTCAGGTTAACTTATGCAACTAAACAAAAACTGGGGAGGTATGAGCAGAATTTTGGTGTGATGCTGCATTACATAAGATGTCAGCATACTGGTAGACACATAAATACATTAAAATATGAGCAAAGTCTCAGGAAATGCAAGATAAATATTGGTTCAGAAAGGGCATGGATTTCATAATCCTCTTTGTAAAAAAAAATGTATGACCTCTAATTAAAGCATGTTAACACAATAAGTGTAATATCAATCCAAGTTAAGAAGTAACATTGTGAAAATAGTAGGAAGCTAGGCCTTAATTGGACAGATCGCTATGGGGTTTTCAGTTAAGACTTACGAGTTAATAACTCAAATTCTTAAACAGTTCAAACTATAATCGTGCTAAACTATCAAAATAAGTTCGAACACCCCAGAGTAGAACAAAAATGCCATTGACTGTATATATCAATGTTCATGTGACAACACAGTCTAAGTATCATCAACACAGGTATATATCAATGTCAACATACGCCAGAGACCTAACTTCCCTGTTCCTGAGCAATAATTAGTTGCTCGTGTACATACATGAAAAGAAAGGCTCGCACAGATGCAGAGTAATCTAGTTGTACTGAGCTCGTTGGAGCATCAATCTCAACACTAATTTCTCACATCACTATTAAAATATCTAATGGATGATTAGACAATCAAGTGCGAATTCAAGAAACAATCACTCTGTTATATGACCAATCAACAACTTGAGTACACTGGAAGCTCCCCGTTCAGCAACGGACTGTCTGACAGCTTAAGTATCATCAATGAAATATTCTGACAATCTACTGCTGATAACAACCAAGGACCAACCAAAGTTGGTTTTCGTGTTCTGATGGGTGCAAAAAATCGTTTCGCCGCACTGCGAGCGCAAACTACTAGTTAAGCTACGAAGTGAGCAACTTGCAAATAACTTGACGAAATTGCACGCGCACGGCAGCTAAATTGGTTCATCTAAAAGACGGTTGTCGGTTAGCATCAATCACAAGCAAATTCGGACGACACCAAACCTTGCTAGCAACCTCCAGATCGCGACCACTCGTCGCATTGGACCCTAACCCAACCAACCAAATCACGGGCATCTCCAGATCACCCGACCACCTCCCGAGCAAAACAAGCATAGGAAACCAAACCCTGGATCAACCAAACGAGCAAGCGAACCGACACAGCGGTGCGGGATCTCGTGATCTGACCTGGGGCACGAACATCCGCGGCGAGAGCGAGTGGCCGGGGCTCCCGGGTGGCGATCCGGCGCCTCCGCCACCACCTACGACGCCCACCGAGCACGCGCGACGCACGTGGTTGGCTCCTCCGCTGCCGTACGGCGGGAAGCCGCGCTCCGACGAGTCCCCTCCGCCGTCCTCCACGTCGGCGCCATCGCCGTCAACAAGCCGCGGCGTCCTCCTCGCGGCCGCTGGCGTTGCCCATGCCTCCTCCTCCCACCCCCACCCCCCGTGGCGGCGAAGAGGTGCGAAATTACGGAGATGCCACCAGGGCGGGCCTGGTGCCGTGCCGCGAGGAAGGAGGGGAAGAAGAAGAAGAGAGGGACGGGGGCTGCGGGGCTCGTATTAATACGGCCTTCACTTTGCTGGTAATTAAAGCGCGTGCCACTGCCCTTGCCCGGAAGCGTGGCGCCACACGTGCACCCGGTGCACGTGGTCTGAATGCCACTGCACCGGGGGACCCATGCTGCTTAGTTGGTCTGTGGACGTGGTGCAGAAGGATTCGTCTTGGGGTTGGCAAGGCGCGCGCGTGTTGATATGTACGGGTGACGTGGACTGGGGCCGGGTCACGGCGGGGAGGAAGGGAATCTGGGTCGGGTGCAGGCTTCTGGGACCCGACACCCGGCATCAGTAGTTGCCGTCTGGAAAAATATTGGTGGGCGAGTCCATTGAACCGGCTATGCGCCCCTACGCTCGATCTTCCTCCTACTCCTAGTAGGCTCGGTCAGCCTCAGCGCCGTTGGTGGCATGGGCGTGCTGCACCTGGTGCTCAATGCCCTCGCCTAACGTGTGCTCGTTGCGATGCACGAAGGCCATGGTCTCGCAGGAAGGAGTACGCGTCCTTGCGGCAAAGAAGTTCGTGCCCTCGTTCTGTTGCGCCGCCGTCCGCATCACTGGAGCCGCGAGATGAAAGAGACCGAGCCAACCACGGACGAGAGTGGAGTCAGCTAGCCAGCCGTGCGCGAGCCCTTGATACGAGCCATTATTCCTCTGTGAGCGCTTGATTTTTTTTCTCGCCACGCGTCAAAGATCGACCGTAGGAGCGCATGGGCTGTTGAATGGACCCATCGCCCATGCAACTTTTTTCGTGCCATCTCGTGCAAGTCATCGACGGTCCCTTCATAGGTTTAGGGCATGTTTGGATTCCGGCTGTTAAAAATTTGCACTATGTTTGATACTAAATAGAAGGACCCAAACATGAATTAATTTTAAAACTAATTGCATAAGCGGTGACTAATTGGCAAGACGAATCTATTGATCCTAATTAGTCTATGATTAACCCATATTTACCGTAGCACCATATGAGTTAATCATGGTCTCATTAGGATTAATAGATTCGTCTTATCAATTAGTCACCACTTATGTAATTAGTTTTAAAATTAGTTCATGTTTGATTCTTTTAATTTCCATCCAAACATAGTACTAATTTTTAGAAGCTAGGATGCAAACAGACCCTTAGTTTTGTCAATCCAACGTGTTTTGTTGACAATAATCAATTTACAGTATTTCTAGATGATATACGGCGTATCATGAGTCTGTTTCTCTAATTTAATGGGATTATTTATTCCCTATACTGATACTAATTATTAGATTACGGCCAAATAAAATGGCAATGCATTAATTTATTGCATCCCACAGACCAAACACTCTATGAATTGACACCATCTCCGCCCACAAATAAGAGCCGTTTAGCATACATATCCATATTAGAGAGCCATCCTATGAATGAATACTCTCTTTTTCGTGTCTCCAATGGACTATGTCAATTTCGTTTTCTACAATTCAATGATTTATCATAACTTTCGTTGCATAAAAAATCATTCATAATAGGACTACCATATCTTAAAAATTTTAGAGAGCAACATAGTCTCTCTATTAGTGAAGAGCGAGAAGAATGATTTTAGATAGCAATAGATGGAGAGTGGTTTATAGAATTTATTGAAGCCTGATTTTTTTTGTTTGTTTTCTAAAATTTATGATGAAGAGCCATACAAAGATGTTCTTATTAGCTCAAGAAATCATATGGCTTGGTTAGCTACTACCTTAAGGCTACCGAGATGTACAGTCTGTTCGCTGGTTGGATTCTGGGCTGATAAGTCCAGCTGGTGCTGCTTTGTTGTAAGAGAAAAATATTGTACCATGATTGATAAGTTCTGGCTGAAACCAACAAACGAACAGGCTGATAGTGTAGGCTTTGATTGGTTGCCTCTGTGATATGTGAGAGGCGGTGGTGCAAGACGAGTGTGCGCGTGAGGCAACCAAATAGTTTCTCTTCACCGTCTAAACAGATAAAAAGCAAACAATCAATTGTATACTGCTTTCGCATCCATTGAACCAAGCTAGCGGAGGTTTGGTTTACTAGCTAGCAAAAGCCTGGTTTACCAGTACAGACCGAAGGTAAGCTGGACTAGGAAACTTACGCTCTTAAGGGCTACTCCGCCAAGCCAAATTTTAGCCTTGCCAAAACTTCGACGGAACCAATTTGACGAAATAATGTGTTTAGTCTTGTGAGCAAGCCAATTGTTAGACTGTAAATGTATATATGCGTGTGTATATGGGCATGGGCCTTGGTATAGCTGTTCGGTCCTCGATTTGGTTAGAGAGATATGAGGAGATCTTAATTTGGTCCTGTTTGTATAAACCATGAGATCTCCTCTCCCCTATATATATATATATGTACATATGTCTTCTCAATCAATTAATCTATTATTCCACGCAATCCTTATTGATTTCATCGTATCACGAGCTTAGTTTTTTTCCCCTTCCTTTCCTGGCTGTCGCCTCCCTTGCGGTCGTCGCCTCCCTTGCGGCGCCCATCGCTCCCAGCCATGGCCATGGCCGGCACCAATGCCGAGCAGAGCCCCACCACCGACTTCCTCCGTCGCGCTACTCAGGTCGTCGATCGATCCCTTGCGCTGCCGTCATTGTCGAGTCCAGGCTGGAGCGCCGCGCCAGGAGCGGCGCGGCCGATGCGCGACTTTAGGCCACCCGACCGCGGCCAGAGCCGAGTGCGCGCCGCGCCTCCTCCCTGCCCACGCCGCTTGAGGATCTTTGAGGTTTCGCCTCTGCCACGGCGGTGCCATCTTCGCGCCGCTCGTTGCCAAAGACGAGGCGCCTCCTCAACTCGCATGCCAGGCGTGGCGCTGCTGGAAGAAGGCGCTTTCGTTCGCTTGTTCTCGACATCGCCTCGACTTCGCCGATGGAGGGTCGAGCGCGCTCGGCCGCTACTCCTTGGAAGCGCATGTCCTCTCTCAAGTTGCCGCTAACTAACTCTCCGGCGCGCGTGCAAACTTGGATCACCGTTGTCGATGTTTGACCATCGATAGCATTCGCCAGGGGTACCAGGCGGCCGACTTGGAGCATGCGCTTCGACGGTAAACACAAGAGCGGACGCTGCTTGACCCTCGATTGTGATCGAGCCAGCCCACGACCTAGTCGGCGTTAGCTTTTGCGTTGGATTGATTGTCAAGTGTCCTCTCGACACGGCCGCTCCGCCTCGGTTTACAAGAAGACGGAGGATTACGATAATACGACTAAGATTACATGGGAAGAGTTAGATGCCTGGGGATCCCGTGGGTTTCGCACTTCGCCGCGTCTTGTTCCTTCAGGCGATCCCCATCTTTCGCGCTTCTTGGGATCTTCGAGTGGTTTGTTCTTTTTGAAGAAAAAAGAGCCTCTTGAGGTCTTGTCTTGAAATTGTTCTACGATTCTTCGTGAAGGTGAAAGCTCCCTGCTAACCTCAAAGTGATTATGAGATAGGTAGCACTACTCTAAGTGATGAAGCATGATCATGCCGATGGTAATGGCCGTGGTGATGATCAAATGCTTAAACTTAGAAAAGAAAAGAGAAAACAAAAGGCTCAAGGCAAAGGTTCCGCTATTTTGTTCTCGGCGTCGCCTCCGTATGATCATATATAGGATAGATGGCGTACTATTAAGGTAGTGAAACTCATTATCCTCCTCCTCGTGCCACGGCCGCTACTCCTTGAGAGCCATGTCCTCCTTGAAAATGTTTGTGAAAATATGCCAACTCTCCAAGGGATTACACGCGCATGGATCGCGTCGTGCAAACTTGGATCATAGATCTGTCGATGTTTGACTACCGATAGCCCGCCATGGGGTACATTGCAGGCGCTTTATTTGCTTCAACGGTATGCGTGAACTCGACGGTAAACACAAGAGACAGTCGATTTATCCTGGTTCGGACCCTCGATTGTGATCGAGTAATAGCCCTACGTCCAGTCAACGTTAGCCTTTGCGTTGGATTGATTGTCAAGTGTCCTCTCCAGGAACCCCGCCCTCCTTTATATAGTCGGGAGGCCAGAGTTCTAGTCGGTTTACAATGAGAGTTCATAGTAGGATTACAGGATAATACTACTACTAAGATTATATGGAAAGAATCATAGTTAGACTATATATTCTCCCTTCCTTGCGGGGTATCCCGTGGGTCCCGCATCGACAAGCCCCCGAGCACTTTATGGTTAAGCTCTGGAAGCCTCGTCTTGTTCCTTCAGGTCTTGCCAAGTAGGAACAAGCGTCGTCCGAGTGCTTTCTTGAGCGAAACCATATAGCGCTTCTTGGGATCTTCGAGTGGTTTGTTCTTTTTTGAAGAAAAAAGTATACCCATTTGGGTGTAGCCTCTGAGCCTCTTGCTTTTTGGAACAAGGAGCTGGAGGGTCTTGTCTTGAAATTGTTCTGATTCTTCGTCGAAGGTCTCTCGAGCATATACCCGGGTTCTTTATCAACTAGAACTCGGATGAAGTGGTCTGTCTTGAAGAAGTCTCCTTGGTGACGTGCATTTTTTCAAAGAAAAAAGTGCACTCACTGAGTGTAGCTCCCGAGCCTCTTGCTATTTAGAACAAAAAGTTGGAGGGTCTTGAATCTTATGTTGTTTGACAACTCTTGTCTTGAAGAGGTCTTCTGAGTGATGTGTGCTTTTTTAAAGAAAAAGTACACTCACTGAGTGTAGCCCCCGAGCCTCTTGC